GGAAAGAGCTGGGGAAATGGAAATAAGATTTACCCCACAAGTCTTTGCGGGTTCCCACTTGTTAATTTTTAAAGCACAATTCTAACCAGTTTGGACCTAACACAAAACCACGGTTTATATTAGCTATGGTTAGTTCACGAAATGGGATTTGACTACAGACAATCATCCAAATCTTGATTTGCCTTGAAAAATGCTGGCTTAATCACCTTCACTAGTATCTCTGAATGTCTTGCAACTAGCATGGTGTCAGCATTAAGTCAGAATGTTCTAGCCGCACAGAACTGCAATTAAGTAACTGTGGTTAATAGAACAAACTGTGGTTTCAGATCCTGGTTTGACACAACTAATCTTGTAGAACAAATTTAGAGTCCAGTGGTATCTTGAAATACCATGAATAAACCTTTGTTGGTCTTAAAGGTGCCACTGGACTCTAAATTTGTCCTACTGCTTCAGATCAACACGGCTGACCACCTTCAACTAATCTTGGTTAGTGGATTGGCTCACATTCATGTGGTCACATTAACTGTAGTTTAGTTTAACTAAGTTATGGTTTCATGTATGACAGTGGTTCTTATGCAACCCTAGAGATGAGAAAGGGCATGACTAGAGCCATAGTTGAGAGGATCCAAATTTCAGGATTCTTGAGGGCACTCCGCACCAGGACCTGGTGTCTTGGGCATTCAGAAGTAAGTGCAAGCACAGAATTGTCTCTTCTAAGGCAGCAGCTCAGTTGGGGAGTGAGCCAGTCATTTCCATCATCCTAGAAGAAGATGGTGACATCTAGTAGCTGAGCATGCCGCAGATCTCGTCAGTATCCTTTGATACACAATTGTAAGTCAGCCTTAGAGACACTCATCTATCGTACATATGCAAATACTTCCAATTATTAGCATGTATTATTTGTATCTTATTTTATTCTTTTGAAGCTGGGGTGTGGAAGGGGAAATTGAAGGGTGGTTTTTCTAGTGAATGGTAGCTTCCCTTGGTTTGCTACAGTCATTCAGTCACTGTCAGCAAATTGGCATCTCTCATTTTATTATTTAATCTAAACTGTTTTCATGTTTGCTATGTGGCAGTCAGTTGTAGCTCAGAAGGACTTGTGCCTGGTTGTTGGTATTGCAATAAACAGGCTCACCTAAGTGACAGAACCTCCAATAATTGTGTGTTTGTGTGTGCCCATTCGCTTTTTGCTGTTGTGCAGAAATTGTGGGTCCCTGTTCTAGTTCACTTGCACTTCTCCACATTTCCTTCTCTGACGGCTACCACATGGAAGGCCCACTTGGATTGCTTTCTACATTAAAACTTGAGGCAGCTGTAATACAGACTCCAGTCAAAAGAATGAACGTGCAGGCTGAAGGAAAATAGGAAGCGTTGCTAGGCTGCTGTTAGACAATGCTAGATTTGCCACGTGTATCATGTGTCTAAAACAGTGACACAAATATTTAGGGCAAATTTCTCTGTGACTGACTAACAGTGACGTAGAACATGTGAAAATGTAACAATGCGGTGGGCAGCACAACTGCACCAGAGCATAGAAGACATTTTAATTTGTTATTAGTCACTGCTTGCTGTGCTTTCTCTCTTTATACCTTGGAATTTTTGAGTGTACATGAACGTCAGCTGACTTGGCCATATGGGTCCTGGTGATCTGTCAGGTAGCAATGAGTCAGTTTGGAGTCCTATTTCATTATCACAAACCCTTGTGTACCTGTTGTTTTTCCTCATTAATATCACTTGTTCTCCCTCAATATAGCATTGGTTAGGAATGTGTTTTTCACCTTGTTTCATGGAAAACGTGTTAAAAGGAAAAGAGAGCTTAATATTGTCTAAGTGCTTCAGGTTTTTGTTTTTTTTTAAAGGAAGCCAATTTCACATGGTTGTGTTCCTTTGCACTCTAATACACAAAATGGGGAATATATTTATGTAGCATCACTTTGGCATTTTACTCCACTGGCCCTTTCCCTCCAGTTTCTGAAATAATATCTTTGTAACCCCTCCCCCTCTTTGGCTCAGAGCATAGTTTTCCTTCATTATTAATCACTTCCCATAAGCTTGAGCCCCTTTACTAATGGGGCTATTATGCTGGGGAAAGCAGTGGTGGGGAAATTCTCTTCCTCTTGTTGCCCACTGCCAGAGAGCAGATGATATGCGGCAGTTCTCACAGGGATGGTCTCCAAAAGGCAAAATTTCCTCTAGGCTTTCCCTCCAGAGCCTTAAAAGTGATTTCTCATTTGCATTTTCCTCACTATTAATTTCTTGGAAAAACTCCATCCCCCTCCCCAAGCTAGTAATTCACCTCTCTGCATCCCGTTGGCATCTGTGACAAGACCAGAAATTCTTAATCGTGCTGTGCTCTGTAGAACTATCCGATGATGGTCTCCTCATATAATATCACACAGTGGACTTGGCACCAAACTTAGGGCTTATTTCCGTTTTTTAAAAAGGGAGTGTATAAACCGTATGCACCTTTTGTTCTTCCATTTCTGCTTTGCTTGGCTGAGCATCTCATTTCAAAAGCTTGTATATAAAAACCTGTCTCTTCAAACAGAAGTCTGTCTGTCTACCCATCTCTCTCTCTCTCTCTCTCTCTCTCTCTCTCTCTCTCTCTTCCCACTACTGTTCCGATTGGTCTGATACATTTGACAAGCCAGTCGCGTCAAAAGGTAATATCCTTGACTTAATTGTAAACTAAGACTCTCTTAATCCAAGGGAGCGTTTGAGATTCTGTCCAAGTGTTCAATTTCCCAGGCCGCTGAGGTCTGTGAATTTCTTTCTCCAGCCTCCAGGCTGCTGCAGCACAACTCAGCATAGCTAATGCAGATAGATCTCCTCTTCCCCCCCCCCTCATGCTCTCCCTTTCTCTTTCCCCTCCTCTCTCCAACTCCCCCCCCCCCCACGCGCAACCCTGTGCTTTGATTCGATATGAACAGACTGGCAACTCCGATGCTAGAGCAAAATCTGACATAACTCTGCAGATGGCTACGTTCGGATGATACACCTAGGATTTTTTTTTCTTTTAAGGAAGGGGTAATGATTTATGTGCTAATAATTCTTTTTTCCCCCTTGTTGCCATTTTTCAGGACTGCCAGCCCCAAAGAAGAGTCCAAAGTCGGTAAGCACTTTTCAGCTACTATACCTGTTTGATTATTTTTGTCTGGGGCGTGGGTGGGCGGTTTCTGGAAATATAAATAAAAATACGGCGTGTGGGGGGGGGGAGAGCTCGGTGTATGCCCGACAGCTGCTTCTTTCCTACCTCTCAGACCCCACCCCAAATCATTCAGTTTGAAAGTTGCAGGATATCATTCTATTGCAGCGCTAATTGCTTTGCACCGGCTTGTGCTGAAGGAGGAGAGCCGGGAGGATTGCAGTGCAGAAATTGGAATTGGGGGTGTGGGAGAGAAGATTGGAGGGAAAGGGGATAGGATTCAGTGGAGTGGCTTCTACATGGTTCCTTCTGATGGACTGAGCTTCTCTGGCACTTTATGTACCCTTTAAAATGCCATTGTTTCTTTGTTGAATGATTGTGAGGGGGAGGGGCTCCTCCTCCTTTTCAGATCATGCCTACTATCGGTAGCTTATGTTGCTTTTTGAGATTTTAAGTGCATGGTTTGCAAGGCAGAATAATTAAAAAAGAAATACATCCCTAAGCCTGTTCCTTAACCGGGGAAGGGGGGGGAGGCTGCCACAATCTGAATATATCGTTCTACTTTCCAGCATTTAGCTGCCTGAGCATTGGAAGTGTGAGATGGTTTCTTTTGCTGTGGAGGGCATCCTTTGTTGTTTTTGCTTGGGTTTAGCAGCATTACGCTGCAGGTGTGGGGTTTTTTTTTTTTTTTTTTAAATCTGCTTCTTAAGAGGAGAAGTGGGGGGGGGGGATCAATATTTCCTTGTCCTTGCTAATGGTTTCCTTGTGGGAGTGGTTACCTGGTTGACATGTGAGGTAATAGCTTGGAGATTATTGCTAAAAGTATAATTAAAACAGAGGATTTAACCACTGGGGGGGGAAATAAAACAAATTAACGAGCTAAGAGCGGGCAAGGAGAAGAGCAATCTATTTTATAGGGAGTTAACTGTCTAGAGGGTGAAAGTTTTTCCATTTGTTTGGGAAGGGGGAGGGCAAGAGGGAAATCTTGTTTCCAGCCAGTTTTCAGAAGGTAAGAATGAGGTCGTTGCAGTAGCAGAAGACACCACAAAAACTTCCCTGACGGTCCGTATTGGAAACAAAGATTTGTAAGGCACCTGACCCGGTCCAGAGAGAAAGACGAACAGAATTCTCCTCCTGCTTTTGATGCAACTTTCGCTGCTAGTCCAAAAGGAAAGCCCTGAAATAATTAATGTGTTTCTGCCGGCTGAGGGCTGTGCTGATTAAAGTCACATGACCTCGGGCCTCTACCATTGTCAGTTTGTATTATCGTTGGTGAGGGCGGTTACTTCGGTGGCGCTGTCAGGGAGGAATTCAGCCTTTGGTTCAAATGGATGCAAGCGTGCAAGGGACACGCCATCCTGTTGGGTTACCAGGAGAAGGAAAAAGGTGCGTGCCGAGAATGGAAGAGCAGTTTGCTTCCAGTCAAAGGGGCAAAATGATTTTTCAGTCTTCTCTCCCCTCTGTTCCCCACTCGTGCTAATTAAATTACGTCTTATGGAAGGCTTAGCAGGGTTGATTGGGGAAAAGGCAGTCTTCTCCCTCCACAGTCAAGTTGCAGACAGTGTTCCCCACTAATTTGGAGTTGCTGTGAATGCCTCTCTCCAGTGAATGGTGGTTCATTACAAGCTTTAAGGTTTTGTGTGTGGGACCTAAATCCATTTAGAGATAATCCTTCTCTAGTGAACAAAGATCCTGTTTACAAACAGGTGTCTTTCGGGAGCCTTCTTCCCTTCAAACCCTTTTTCTTCTTTTCCCTTCAGCAGAATTCAGTTGATCTCTGGAGACTGTTCCTTCATCTTGAACCCCTTGAATGCTACATTGCTGGAAGCCTTTACCTTCCAGTCAGTGGTTGTCCTCTACTAGAAGAGGGGAAATCCCCAGAAAACCTAATTTATCCTTAAAAATATGTGTTGAATAGAATGCATGTTAACCACATTCCATCATACAGTGTCTTGTTTTTTGTAATGCAGTAGCTGTTGCATTAGAGATATCATCCCGTTCTCTGCAACATCTAGAACATTTCTTATATGTTAAGTTTTGTGATGTAGACTAGACTTTTGTAGTTTTAAATGGAAGAATAGCAGAAATAAAGGTTCTGTGCTTGCGGTATTGTGGGAGGAGGTTATAAATGGATTACAGTAAGCATCCTTTGAACTTCCAGCACCAATCTGAATGGGACTTCCCCCCAGTTCAGTTCTTGAAAATGACATGAAATATTTTTAGTGATGGTTGCTGTTTGTCGAAGCCTACATGTTGACAGTCTAGCGTGATGACGCAGGCATCGGAAATGCCGAGCATCAGCCCTTGAGGTCTCCTCCCCAGAGCCTACTTACATGGTCTTGTGGTTGCATTTCTTTTTTCCTTCCCCCCTTTTTAGTTTTTCTCCAAGAGTCCCTTAAAACACTAATTATTTCTTGATCAATAATAGATTAGCTGCCGTTCCATGAACTATGTGCAGCCAGCCTTGTGGCATTAAAAAAAATAATGAACCAGACACACTCACGTGCCTCTCCTGGCCTTAATGTTTTCTGTTGTTAGATTTAATTCAAGGATAGCAAGTTCAGAATACTTTCCAAATGCATCAAACACATCAATTTCAAAAGACATCAGGGCAAACTGGCAGTTCATCTTACAAGAGAATTTCCCGGCAGGCTACTACCCTAGGAGGCCACTGGCGGCCAGCAACAGTCCCTAGCCCAGCGACTGTGACAAAAGGGTGACTTAACTCTGAACTTTAAACAGCAATGATATTCAGTATCATCAGTTGTGGGAGGAAGCAATGGATAAGCTAATGCCCATTGCTAGTTCTGCTGAAGTGAGTGGCCCCTTCAGCAGCGGCCTATAGTGCCACAGAAACACATCACTATAACTTGTTCCGAGGCCATTTTGATTTCCCAGTTCACTCCTCTCCCCTGTGATAAATTGCCAGTCAGACAATGCAATGTAACAAATTGGATAGGGCTGAGGGGCCCAGTTTGTATGTCAGCAGTGTGTTGTGTGAATCAGAATGGTTTCTGCCAGTACACCAAACCATATGTGTGTATCTCCATGCTGCTGGTGTGAAGCAGTGCCCACACTGTTCAAGTAAATTCTAGCCATGTTAAGAACTCACCCACCACAAAATCCTGGTCAGAATTGTCTTTGAACCAGGCAGACACATACTCATAAGGTGGCGTGCATATTGCAATGATAATGTGCAAAGCAGGTGGTAGGAGATGTACAAGTTAATCTCTTGGAGTACAATCTGGGAGACTCAAACTCCCACTTTCCACAGAAGCTTGCTGAATAACTTTGGCATAGTTACACACACTCAGCCTAGCGTACCTCAGAGGGTTGTTATGATGAGAAAATGGAGAAGAAAATGATGTAAGCCATTCTGGGTCCCCATTGGGGAGAAAAACAAGGTATAAACAAGGTATAAATGAAATAAATTAAAACTGGCCCATGTGCTGAGTCAGTTCCCTGTTGAGACTCCCCACTCCCAGAGTGTAATTTATCACTTTGCTTATCATATGGAAATTTCTGATTCTTGTGGAGAGACTTTCCGTGCCAGCAATGTCTGATGCTGTCATGGAGGTTTTCCATGTAGCAACTTCCCACATGACAAAAAGCACAGTATGGCAGATGTGATGGACAGGAGGCTGTCCTGCCTCTGAAAGGAAGAACAACCACCCAGCTGTTTTATCTCAAAGCTTATGCGAGTGCTGCTTCAGCATCCAGTCACCTTTCAGAGAGGAATGGAGTGTTGGCAGGAAGCACAGTGGGAGTTAGTTCAGGTCTACCTCAGCAAGACATTTGAAGGGTAGCTCTGCCTGGTAGTGTGGCAGAGTGGCTTAACTCTACCTCTGGGAGTGAATAGAGTACCTGTTTGTCAGGCCTGTCTCCGGTGATGAGCAGACCGTGTACAATGTAATCTCAGTTTGGGGAAAGGACAGGCTGGTGCAGGTAGAATCCTGTGTGTGAGAGAAAGGATCCAACCTGGTGGGTAGTCAGTGAAAGCGTATTTGTACCTGAAAACATTAAAGAGAATTCAAACCATAATCTGAAGCCATAGCTAGCTTAAATTTATTTACCTCAGTCAGGTGTCCCCTTTGAATGTCTGGAGACCTCTGCTGCTGGTCTGTTCTTTGAAACCAACCTTTTCTTTGAAACCACATGCAGCTGCTGGTGTGACCTTGGGTCAATCATAAGTTCTTTCAGAGCTGTTCTCTCAAGGGCAGTTCTCGAAAGAGCTCTCTCAGCCCCACCTACCTTACAACATGTCTGTTGTGGGGAGGGGAAGGGAAAGGAGATTGTAAGCCACTCTGAGACTCCTTCAGGTAGTGAAGAGTGAGGTACAAAGCTTCTAAATAAATAAATAAATATTTTTTTTGCATACAACTCCTGCCACAGTGGTCTCTGTGTCCTTGCTCACTATAAAACTTACCTCAGAGCAGTGAACCCAAAGCATTCACACTTGCTACCCTAATGACATCCTGTAGCTGAAGAGAATATTTACAGCTCAAAGCAAAGTCATAAGAGGCTGTGCCATTCCCCTCTTTTCCCAAAAAGGACCTGTCACAGCAGGTCATGTCAAGCTACCAAAAAGAACTGTCTTGTTATCTGGATCAGGTGACAGTTGTAGAGTCAACCCTTTAGGGGTGATGCTCCTAGATATAGTAGCACCTCCCTTCAGATTTGAAGGCCTTGTTCCGGCCATGTCTTTGATTCTGTGATTTCAAAATGAAGTAGCCAGATTTTTATATTTTTCTTCACTGGGAAGTATCTTCTGACCTCAAAGTAAAAGATTGTGATTTGTCGTTTTTATGCAATATACTAGCTGTTTGGTTAAATGTTCATGAGTAATGTATTTATTTTTTTCTTGGGATTTATATCCCACTATTAATTCTTGTTCAGTAATTTATATATTTGAGACGAAAGGAAGGAGGGTCCATTTATTAGCACTGATAACCTTTTGTGAAATCTGG